GCGCCCGTCGATACGCTACACCCCTGAGATCTCGCCGCCCCGCTGACACTGCTCCAGAGCAGTGGGTCGGGCCTTCCCCGTCCCCGGTACTGCGTGCAGAGCCGCCGCTGCCGCTCGTGGCCAAGCCACCCCCTGGTTCCGAGCTGATCTTGCTCTTATTCAAAGCAGATGGTTTCCCATTCCAGGTTCCTTCGTCTTGCAGAGCACATCACTGATTTGCTTGCAGAAACCTCCCACTGGCCCTTAGAGGCCTTTTTTTGTGTCATATCCTTTCTTATAAAAGAATGGTATCTACAGAGGTAACCCTATGATTGTGTGTCCCTTCTTCACTTCTTCCTCCTCATGAATTGCCCCTAAGTAATGTGCAGACCTGCTCTCAGCAGGACTTCCCTCCTACAGGAGTGGATGGTTTTGATCTGATGCAGAATATGTCTTAAAAAAAATCCGAGTAGTAACTTCTAACTGTTCTGTGTAACTTATTACGTTACTTGAGTTTATAGCCTCTAACTGTAATCCCCAGGAGGGAACCACCCTTCTTGCTTGCAGCCATTCAATTGGCTTAGCTAAAATTTAAATGTGTAGCTTCCTCTTTGGGTGGCCGGGTGAAGCAACCTCTGCCTCTGCATGTAACTTGTGCTCCCACATGGCACACCCTGAATTAGCAACTGAGCTGAGTCCGTGCCCACTTCTGAGAGCAGAAGCTTAGGGTGTGTGTGAGGATGACATGAACGATGGGCTTCTTGCCAGAAACGGTCACAAAGCTCTGTTCTCATCAACCTGAAAAGGACCAGTCTGGTGATTTGAGTAAACTCCATGCAAACATCTGTTTGTCCAAAAAGCTGTACTTGTTTGTAATGTTCTTCCTTGTAGCATCCTGCCAAACACCTCCCCTCACACCGAGCCAAGTGTTCCTGCACTGCCGTGTACACGCCTGAGCTGGGCAGTGTTTTTTATGGACACGGAATGGAGAGAAATTTTGACCCCCTATAATTTACTGAATATCAGATGCTGCGCGATGTTGCTTAATCATGCCTGAGTTCTTTGGATTAACGTGAGGAACAGGAAAACTTCAGTTGCTGTGTAGTTTCTTCTCAGCTTGCTTAAATGCAGTTAGCTTGCGTGGCTAAGGGGGACATTGTTGCTGTCTTGCCTCCACTATCCTCTAAACATAACCACTTTTGCTCATTTTGAATAAAAGTGTATTTCTTTTTCAGCTGCTAATTCTGTGATTAGAACTCAAATGTGCTGCTAATTGAGTAGTCATTTGAAGGTGCCAGTGTTTCCAAGGGGTTTAGCATGAATTGTTCTGTTTTCAGGGGTTATTTTCTTACTCATTTAGTCTTGTCAAAAGCATCTTATTTTTCTTTATCTTCATTTGACACTTAGACAAGTGATAGGGTGGAGAAAAGCACAGGAGACATGCAAGAAGCACAAGCATAAACTAACTTCATCTAGAAATACCAACGTGCCTGTGTGTCTTATACGTAAGAACTCATCCATATGGAGCCAATCCCTTAGGGAGCAGGGCACAGGTGTGAATGCAAAGCTTCACCTGTTCTTGTGGGAAATGTTTCCTCTGAGTACAGGCAATGCCACACACAGAGCAGCTGTGCTGCACGCACATGTGTATGCCTTGGGTGTGTTCCAGCAGTGTGTAGATGCCTTATGTATCTGATAAGGGTGGGTGCCAGGTGCCCGCAGCAGTTGTATAATCATTGTCCTTGATGCTGGTCTAAGAGAAAGAGAATAGAAATGCAAGTCGCGAAGCCAAATCCTTTATGCCTTTGTATCCCCACACAGATGTGTGTTTCTGGTTTTGAAGGGTGAAAATTCTAGCACCAAAATGGTGTGCAGTGTGGCTCTGAATTAGCTGGAGAGATTGTTCATAAACGTAGGACTGTTGGCCCTGTATTTGGCCTTTTGAGAGAAAATCTTCCCATTTTAGACATGCCTTCTGTAAAGAACTGTTGAGTGAGTGGAAGGATTTCTTGTGAAGGTATGGGATGGAAAGTCAGAACGCATCTAGTAAGAGCCTGGAAATAGCGAAAAACTTTTGTCGCAGAACTAGTTTATCTCTTGGTAACTTTTATAGGGACAGCATTCCCTTCCTACCACACAAAGAGAAAGCAATCGGGGTCTGTGAGCTCTTCAGCTGTGACGGGGAGGAGGCCATTTGAGCCAATTCTCCTGCAGGCAGTGGCTGTCTGTAGCAGGTGTGCCATGCTGGAGTGGAGATGGCTTGTCTGGATTCCGGATTCTGCTGTGGCAGCTTCCCCAATGTTACCAAAAGGCCAGATGACGGGAGATTATGTAGCAAAGCAGACTGCGAAAGTGTACAAAACCAGCAGCAGCAGGTGTGAGGGAAAGACCTCTTAAGGCTTATTCTTTGCACTCCATGACACAGTGAATTTACAGAACTGTTGTGGGAACACAGGAATCTATTACAACTTGCCAGGGTCTGTGCAGCAGGACAAAGAAATGTGCATCTGGCCTTGATGATAGCACCAGGAGAAAATGGCTGGGGGAGGCAGCGATCTAGCCTTGTGTAAAATAAAGCTCTTGAATGAGCATTGTTGCTTTTTTTGCAGGTGATTGCCCTTGTGATGGATTCCTTCACAGATATTGATATCTTTGGTGACCTTCAGGATGCCTATAACAACCGCAAAGTCCCTGTCTATATTCTTCTTGACCAGGACTTTCTACCCCATTTCTTGGAAATGTGCAAGAATTTGGGAGTTTGTCCTGAGCAGGAAAGTGTAAGTACTAAATGTGGGTGGGTGTGGTTTGTTTTTATTTTTTGTGGTACAGCTTATGGTTATGGATATCAAAGCTACCCTTCTATAAAACCTCAGACTCCCTTGAAAGACTAAAGCATCCTGTCTGTTTGGTAACTGATACAAAAGGGGATTTTCTGAAGTGTTTCTCAGCTCCTGGAGATTAAGGCTCAATATCGCATGGTTTCAGTACAGTCTTTAATCCGACATGTGAAACTGCTCACGGACTCAGCGAAAACCTTGCGGAAAAGGCACACCTACTACCCTACGCTACCTGTATGTAGGAGCTACAGGCATGCTGCGCAACAACCTGGTGTGCTGGGTGGAGTGCACACTGTGATCCCTGTCCTGAGGAAGGAACAATTTTCAAACGTTTAATTTTGCAAGATCTAAGTAGCTTTATTCTTTGGCTCAAGGAACTGCGTGCTAAGGAAAACAGAAACACGGGAAGCTCAGGGGTGGTATAGCTCTGGTAACATCTCATTTGTTTCCTAATACATAGTTGCTTTCTTTTAAAAGGGTTTGGATGATGTGACCTAGGTGATTTACTTAATTTCTCTGAATATAAGCTGACATGACTGTGTTATGGCTTGGCTTGGACAGGCTTATGTTCACCTCAGTGAGAGTTTCTCTGCATGCGGAAACACTGCTGGCTTTGTGGGCAGTAATTAGAACTGGCTGTTGTCTCCACAGACTCTCCTAACGTAACAGAAACTTAGCACTGTGTGACTCGTAACACTCACATGCAGACAATGTAAGGAAGTTCATTTCATTCCTATCTTCCATAGTGTGTGTAGCTGCTTCTAGGTAGAACTGCTAATCAAAACTTTTTGGAAGTTAACTGAAATCTGATGTTACTTTTTTCCTTTCTTTTCTGAAACAGCTGATGAGAGTTCGAACTCTCACAGGGAACACGTACTACATGAGGTCAGGTGCCAAAATTGTTGGGAAAGTCCATGAGAAGTTCATGTTGATTGATGGCATTAGAGTGACAACAGGCTCCTACAGGCAAGTACTGGGGTCTGCTGGTGCCTGATGAAGCTACAGAAAGGGGGAGTTTCTGCAAGAAGAATGTATTAACTTTGCTGTTTGCCTGGTGTTAATGAATGCCAATGGCAAGTGGTCTAGCTGAGTCTAAGTGGGACTAACACAAAACTGGAAACAGCTTTGAAAAACTGTTTTACACAACTTGTTGCTAGCAAAGCACTTGGCCGTGGCTAAATAGAGCTCTTCCTGCAGAACGGAGAGTGAATAGTCTATCCACTTTATACCTTCCTTATGCACAGCACTTCTAAGCCAAGTCTTGCTATCTGTAACTGTATGTGTTGAAATGCACTGGAGATTAACTGTGAGTCTTGGTTTGTTTTCAATAGTTTCACATGGTCCGATGGGAAGCTGAACAGCAGTAACTTGCTGCTCTTGTCAGGTCAAGTGGTTGAACATTTTGACCTCCAGTTCAGGATTCTTTATGCCCAGTCGATGCCCATCAGCCCTAAGTGGCCATCCAGCTGCAGGAACAGTGGGATATTCGATCACCTGGTGAACAGAATAGAGTCCCCTAAAGAATATACTGTGGAAGGTAACTTGAGAGCAGAATTTGCCAGGCTGTCTAGTACTCCAAAGAAATTGTTGAAAGAACTAGATCAGGCTGAAGATACTCCTGGAGGCAAACCTTGTAACCTGGGGCGTTCTTGCCTCTGTGAAGAGGAGTGGTTCAGCGATCAAGAGGCCACAGTGGAACGGAAAAGTGCATCGACTCAAACTGGCCCATGGGAAGAGAAGTCTGTAGTGACCATGTGTAATGCTGCCACGCAGATCAGCGCTGTAACGGCAGAAACTGGCACTCAGACTTCTGTCACTGCTAGAATGACGGGCACTCAGACTTCAGTTTTGCTGAAGACTGCAGTGACACAGACAAAGGAAGATGAGTACACAGAAACACCCCTGCTTCCCAGAAAGCTGTCAAAAGAAGGATCTTCTCTGTCCGGAAAGGCTGTATCAAGTTCTAGTCTGCGATCACTGTCTTCGTCATCGTCCCAGTGCTCTCTTGCAAGCTCTGCTGGCTCACTATCTTCTCTCCGGTCCTTTGAATATTCTAGCAGTCACAGGGCAGAATATTTCCAAAAACTGCATAAAGAGAGGCAGTTCCACTACTCCACTATCAGGTCGAAGCTTAGCCACATGGTGGATATCCTATCCCGGAGAGGACGTGTACCTGAAAACTACATGACCCAATACACTGGAAGATGCAATCTAAAACAGAGGCGTGACATCAGTGCCAGCCTGCGCAGCCTCCGGGATGTTTCACTCTTTTCTCTGAACAAATGATTGCTGTACTGAAGCAGAACACAAAAGCTCCAGTCTCAAATTGCAGTCACTTTGTACCTGCTGATTCTTCCACTTCCTTCCAGCACTTTTACTTTTTTTAATACATGTGTACATCACTCTCCAGCACTTTCTTTTATACTATGCAATTTAGGCAATAAAAAAAAAAGGGGGGGGGGGTATTTATACTGTAACTACTTACATGTTCCTCTTACATGTATTAGTGGTGACAGTTTATTTTAATTCTGGATGTTTGACCTGAAAAGTAAACTTATTACTGCTTTCCAGGGTTGCTAATGCTCTGGTTTTAATTTATGTAAATTTGGAAAAATTTAAGTCAGACTGAGCTTGCTCAGAGTGGCTTTGGAGATTTAGCTTACATCAAGGTATACTCAGATTTTTTTCCTTTTTAATACTGGCTTTTATTTCTACTTTATCTTTGGCATGAGGGGAAACAACTTGTATAGAGTGCCACAAAGCTAATTTTATTTTAAGTGAGACTTCAGAGATATACATTACTCTCCCACTAAAGTTGTGAAGGGTCTGTTGGAGTAGCTGCAGGTTCCTATCTTCAACTATATCCTTTTTCCATTGTTTAAACCTTCTGAAATGGACTGAGCTAACTAGTTCTTCAGTTTGATCATCCTCTCATGCCTTTGTGTAGATACATATATCTATATTAAAAAAAAAAAAAAAGTGTGTGTGTATATATACACATTTTCAGAAGAGCATCTTTTTAAAACCAAGACCAGGAAGTAGCAACTTAGCACTCCAAGACAGCTGTACCCATTTTAGGTAAATGTAAATGTTTCTAGTATTCAGAACTAAAAGCTAGATATTATTGGACCTGTAGGACTATTAATGGGAATGTATTGCTGCAGTGTTGGGTTTTTGTGCTTGTGAGTGTGAGATGAGGTGGTATCTGGAGTTCAGTGTCTTGCTGCAGCATACCTGTTGTACTTCTCTGTTGGGATGACTTCAAAGAACTTTGTCTCTTGTGCAACTTATTACATAGAAGACTTTTAGTCTTAGCACTGTAAAATAAGCTTCCAATTCTGGCTCAGTCTAGGAATGTCTGAACCATCTTGCTTCTGTTAAGAGACCTGTACCTGTAAACAGCTTCCTTCTTTGAAGTGAACTTAGAGGCAAGACAATCACTGAGGGCACATTGACAAAGCCCCTGTTCAAAACTAAATGGACAAATGCACTACAAAATGTTATGGATTACGTTTGCTAATACTGTAGTACACATAAGTGTGAGAGTGAAAAAACCCCATTTTTCTCTTTAGACTGTCCTATCTGAAATACTCTGTTTCCTGCTCTGTTTATCCTTTATCCACTACTAGCTTAGTTTGAAGAGCTGAAGTGCCACTTTAGTTTTTGAAAATACTCTACTTTCAATATTAAATGGATCTTAGGTTAAGTTGCTTTGCAGAGGCATTATCTGAATATTTGTTAGCAGTATTCGGTGCGTGCATGTCTGTCTCTGCTGGATCGCTGTCTGAGCAGTGTGTGGGTTCTCCCTCTGAGCTCCGACCTGTACTGTTATTCTTTAGACCTGCATTCCAGTACTTTAGTGACCAACCAGACTGAATTCTGCCAAGTCAAATCAGAGTCTGGGTTATGCATTTTCTTCTTATTTATAGGCACATATGTCCAGTAGATGGCACATTTCAGCTGTTGTCTTGAATACTCCAGTAAACAGCAATGAATGAGTGAATAAACAGAAAAATATCCAAAACTCAACAAGGCTGCAACTTAAGTGTAGAGAGCAGCGCTTTATTCTACTAACTTTGGCATTTCTATCTCTGAAATGTATATGGACAAAGAGGCTTAGCTTGCGTTCATTGCTTGGGTTTCAAAGCAGCCGCTCCTTCCCTAAAGCTGTAAGGCAGACGTACAAAGACGGGCAGGTGAGGGGAAAAGCAGCTCTGTCTGCACTTCTTTAAAAAGCCACGATACTGTCTTGCCTGGTCCCTGGAGCTGGAACACGAGGAGCGAAGCAAGTTGCAGAGGGGGAGCCGAGATACGCTCAAAGCCAATATCAAGTTGTATTTTTAAGAGCTCATGTTCAGCAGCGCTTGAACGTATTGTAAAATGAACTTGTTTGTTCTAGGTGCTTTATAACTTTATTATACTGTGCAGCTGTTATGGTGCTCTCACAGGAATAAACAGTTTACAAATAAACTACTTTTGCCGTGGGGCTTCTCACCTGATCGTTGAGCTTTGCTTTGTGTTTATTCTGCGCCCAGGGT